CTTCCTTTTCGATAATGAAGGGATTGAACTTCAATCACGTAATGGACATTGCGGGTCCCTTAACAGAAAGTACCGAACGTTATAAATATATTCTTACAGTCCAGGATCAACTTTCGAAATATTTAGAAGCAATCCCATTAAGAGACCAACAGGCTAAATAACCAGAACACTCTTAAACCACTGGATATTACTTTACGGAACCGCTAAAATTATTATGACTGACCAGGGAACAAATTTTATAAGCAACATATTAAAACAACTCAGTATTCTGTTTCGCTTTGACTTAAACCATACTTCAGCGTTCCATCCTGAATCAAATGGTAACCTTGAAAGACCACATACAGTCTTAAAGGATTTCCTTAGAACTCAAGAAAACTTAACAGAAGATCCATCCCTGTGGAGCCTTCAGCTTCAATACCCCGTATACTCTGCAACGAGACATATTTTTTTGCCTTGTTACGAGTGGTCACCAGGCCAGCCGCCCTCACTCCTTCGCCCTTTAAAACCCTTCGCCGCTGGGGCGTATGCGTGGATGCGAGAGCTTCTTTTCGCTTCTTTTCTTTTACTTTTTTTTTCTTCGCGTATCCCCCACTTAACCCCCTCTTTCTGCGGCGGCCGCAGCACCAGCAGAAGAAGAGTCCCTCGTCCCCGGTCGCGGGAAGCCTACACCCGAGTTACGGAAGTGCGGGATGGGCCCACCGAACGACCCTGCCGTCGACTGACCGGTCGCCGCGCTACTCGTCAACCTCTGCGGGGGCGACCGGCAGCCAACCGCCGAGAATTGCCAGTCCTACGGACAAGTCACCCCCAGACACCGCTCCAAAGTGGGCCGCAAGACCTCGCCACCAGTAAGAACATTATGGCCCATCCCTGACGCTGAAACCCTCAGGGAGGGGGAACCCCGCGTACTGGGAGAACGAGCTGCGGTTGCCGAAAAAAAGAGAAGTCAGCGAGCCGCGACGGGATACGCAGAAACCCACGTCCTATCGAATTTCTATTTTCTTTCTGTGTTTTCGTTCATTTCCGTTTTCTGTTTTTTTTCTTCTTTAGTTTTGTGCGTGTGTGTGACAGTGGCGTGTCGACGCCTAAAATTGGAAAAAAAGAACGCTCGCTCGAGTACATATGTATGTAGGATTTTGCCTCTGGCGGGTTTCTTTTATAGTTTGCACGTGCGAGCGTGTGTGCGTGTGGAAAGCCTTCGGTGATAGGACCACCAGCACCTACGTCGAGAACCCTAGAGACCGTATACCGTGGACTGCTTTCTTTTCTCTTTCGCGCATCGTGTCCCGCGCCCCCGGTTATCGAGGCGCCGCGAATCCCGGTATGGATTGTCGATTCCTTTTTTCGTTGCATGTTACGTTTAAGACCAGCGTCTCTTTGCGGTCCACGAACCCCAAGAAGGGGTGATCCCGCCCGCGCTTCCTTTCGTATTTCTTTTTTTTTTGTGTCTATCGCGTGTACCGCAAGCCCCCGCGCAATGAAATCCTCCTTCGCAATTGGCGAGCGTGACCTTTTTCGCGGTCGCACTTTGTACTGCGTGGTGCTTGTGCGAATCGGTTGCCGAAAAGTGTTAATTTTTTTCTGGTTAAATCGGGTTGTGCCGAGAGAAAGGGGTTCGGATAGCAATCGATGCGTTCGTGATGCAAGAATGTGGGAAAGAATGGTTCAGGACGGAATCAGAGAATGTAAGTCACCACGAAAGTGATTCACTTGTGTCTGTTTTTATTGAACCTATAGCGGATTACAGTAACGCGAAAATGAGTAGGGGTGACGTCGATAGCACGGTTGAATAAACTCTGAATGAACACTGACTGAATACAGACAGATTCCGGGACTCCGGCGAGTTTATAAATATGTCGAGTAAGATAGTTCGAGACGTTCCAACCTTCTCGACGCATTGTATACTATGACGGATCGGTGGGGGAACGGGGAAGAGGTTCCCTAGGGTGGAGGGTGACCAGGGAAAGTGGTCCTCCACAAACCGAAGCTCACACCCACGGACGATTTCTACTTCTGGGCGTCAGTGCACGTGCACGCGTTCGGGGAATCACCCTTCCGGCTGCTCTTTCGGAAGCGGAACTCAGAAGGGGATGAAAATGAATAAATAACCCGCGAGTATCTATGCAACAATGAAATTTATTTCGGGCCGTAGTGGGCCTTTCAAAACTAACGAAATAGAGCTCCTCGTGGTACAAGGTACGGCTACGAAAAGGGTCGCGATCGCCACTTGCGAAAAGGGGTTTCGCAACGCGGGGTCTCACGGCACACGCAAGAAATACAGCAACGAAAACGGTGGAAAATTTTGAAACGCAACGGGAGCACGCCCTCTTGGGGTCGTGGACAATAGTGTGGACGCTGGTCCTAAATGCAAAATATAGAGAAAAGCCGTAAGAAATCGTTAGTACAAGAATCCGCGTCCTACAGTCCCTAAAGTTCTCGTCGCCGGAGCTGGTGGTCCTATCGCCAGAGGACCACCAACACACACACGCTAGCACACGCACGCAAAAATGACAAAAACCCGCCGGTAATCAAGATCATACTTTTACTTGTCCGGTTGTCCTTTTTCCAAACCCAATTGTCATGGCGCCGTCCCACACAATCGCACACGCACAAAAAAAAAATAATAACAAAAACACAAAAAAACGGAAAAGAAAAAAAGAATAGTTGAAATTCGGGCGTAGCGCATTATTCGAGGTGTTTCCCGTCGCGGCTTGCTTGCGTTCTTTTCCTAGAAGCCGCAGCTCGTCCTCCCGGCGCGCGTGGTTCCTCCCCGCCCCCTTCCTTCCCGAGGTTTTTGGCGTCAGGGATGGGCCATCATGTTCTTGCTGGAGGCCAAGTCCTGCAACTCCCTTTGGGTGGCGGCTAGGCGTGGCCAGGCCTGGCATCCCTCGACGATTGGTTGCCGGTCTCCCCCGCGGAGGTTGACGGGTGGCGCGGTGACTGGCCGGTCGGTGGCTGGGTCCACCGGTGAGCCGATCTCGCGCCGTCATCGCTGGTGTGGAGGCTTCTCGCGAACGAGGACGACAGACTCCTCCTCTTCTAGGGCCGCTGCAGAAAAAGGTAGAGGGGGATAGAGAGACGCGAGGAGAAAATAGAGACCTAACGATATACTAGAAAAAAAAAACTCGCACTTACATACACGTCCCAGCGGCGCAGGGGCCTGCTAGGGCGCAGGAGTGAGATCGGCGGGCCTGGCGGTCACTCGTAACGAGGCAAAGAAAAAAAGGAAAAAAAATATGGCTCGTTGCATTATATAAAATAAAATTGCATACAATAGTCGATATATTATGAGGAATTGTAATTATGTATTTCCATCATTTCATCTGTTGTAAATACTCCGTAAATAAGGAATACAAGACAAACGACGGCGTCTAACAGCTGATTTGCCTTCTGCTATCAACGCCCTCAGTTGGCAGGTTTTGGTTTAATTTGAAAGATCTACCTGTTACCCGTACGGCGCGAACGTCAAATGAAGGCAATGGCATGAAGAAAGGCAGTTTTTACCACCATCTGGTCCTCCTCCTATCAACGAGGGGAATCAATAAAGACGTAAAACAAAAGAGAGAGAACGAGAGTAAATTGTATTGTCGAAGTAAACATAACCTAATCAATTATTTTCAATGTAGAATTTCAATTTATTCACGGCCTTTATTTCAACAAATTTCATATTCCAATACTGTTCTATTATACATTCTAACCTCTCGACCTCATTGCACCACCTTCCTTCCATCTTTCTATTGTACTTCCTACGATGGGAAACTTGACTTGAGCCCGTATTCCTGCAAATTTCTCAACCTTAAATAATAGGTTTATAGATTTGCAAGAGCATCGGGTCCTACCTGGAGGACAGATGGATTGAGTACATAGGTTGAGTACAGGTGACAGTGTGAGGAGGGCGGTGAAGCGTGGCGTACTCAGGGGTCGGTGATAGAACCGATTTTATGGTACCTCGAGTGCGACTACGTCCTGCGGGTTGTATTCCCTGACAACACGTATGTCATCTGCTACGCGGACGACACTCTCATTCTTGCCGTTGGGGAGACAATACAGAGGACCATTCGTCTGGTCGAGGTGGCGGCTGCCGCCGTCGCCGCGTGGATTCTCGAACTGGGGCTTCGAACTGAGACCCTCGGAAGACCGGCTATGGTTTTTCATGCTCGCCCCGTTCGAGGAGTCTGCCCCAGTCGTGGATCCGGGTGGGTGATGCCTTGATCGAGGTCGAGTCCGAGATGAAATACGTTGGACTCATCCTCAACAGCCACTGGCGTTTTGATCGACACTTCGAGCGCTTGGTCCCCTGAGTGGAGCGGACGGCGACCGCGCTCGGTCGCATAATGCCCAACCTCGGGGGACCCAATGAGAGGGTTCGCCGCCTATACGTGGGAGTGGTGCGGTCAACTGCTCTGTACGGCTGTTTGGGGCAATATCGCTCTTGACGAAAATCGCGTAGAGTTAGATATTGTTCCCGAGGAAATAAAAACGATAGTTTTTTGCCGGACTTCCGACGGAACAATAAACTTATATTTTAAACGAAAAAAGAACTGTACATTTGACAAAAAGTATTAAATATAAATCGCACGATACATACACAAATCAAAAATGTCTTTTAATTTAACTAAGTAACTTAGTAAATACAAAGAGAAAAGTCTCCGAAGCAGTGCGTTTTACTGTTCGTCTAGTGGATCGCGAGGATATCTCAAAAGCGAAAAAGCGAAATATCGTTTCGTTTGCCGAAGTTGACGATTACAATTCGGAACGACAAGTAAGTTAACCGTCGCGGAACAAAACATATATCGTTGGAGGCTACCTCCGCCCCCCCGCGTCACCCTCGCCAAGATGCTCAGCAGTCGCGCGAGCTGACGAGCGAGCGAGACAGAACGCTCGTTCGAAAACATTTCAACCGTTGTTCGAACACGGCGCTGCCGTATGTGCTGCCACACTGATGGCCCGCGGGTGCAGCAGCAGTATTGTTTTCCTGCACCGGCGTGATACCATTCGAAATGCTGGCGGCGGCAGACGGGTTGGTCTACACGTGCGTCCGTGCCGTCCACCAGCTTAATGGTTTCCCGTCGGAGCCTACAGAAGAGAGAGGTCATGATAGGCAAGAGAGAGGTCATGATAGGCTCACTTAACGTATGGCATAAATATGCACCGCACACGGTTGTTTCGATGAATACTTGTGTCAAAGCGGGAAGGAGTCGACGACGGCATGCTACCACTGCGGGAAAGGAGTGGACAGGGCGTAGCACACGCTGGAGGAGTGTCCCTCCTTCTCAGCGCTGCGTTGTGTCCTGCGCCAACAAATTGACCACAACCTTTCGCTGCCAGAAGTATTTGGGGCAATGTTGGCAAGCGAGAGGAATTGGAGAGTGGCCTCCTTCTGTGAGCAAGTAATGCTCCAGAAGGGGTTGTTTAGCTCGGCGGTGTTGCGGCGGCTCCGGGGAGGTCTTGTGCCTTCCCTTGCATAGCCGGCGGGGCCCCCACCCGGGACGCCACGATCCCAGCAGCCCCACGCATCTTGGTTGTCTCGGTGTCGCTGTAAAATTCAAGTTTGTAGTTTTGGGCGAGGTCACTGGCCTCCCCCGTGAAGTGCTCTGCGCAGCGCAACGGCGTTTTTGGAGATGTTCCAGTTGTGTTCTTTGAGAGTTCCTGGGGCTCCTCCTAATGCGCCGAGGAGGACCACCGTGGGCGTTTTAGGCGGTAAAAATCCGGCATAACTCTGCGCCTTCCTCAGAAAATCTTTTGAAGATTTTCCCCAGGTTCAAAAAAAAATGAAAACAACTTTCATAGTTCTCCCAGAAAGCAAGGACAACAGAACTTTGTTGTGAGTAGATTTTATTGACAACACAGGAATCGTCTTAAACATTCCCCAACGAAGTTGGAACAAGAGGAGAAGACGGAAGAAGAAATAAATGCCATGGATTGGGAAAAATTAAAAGAACTGGCGAAACCACTACTACCATTGCTGAGCCCAATCCAAAATGATCCCACCACCTTGGAATCGTACTTGGAGGATACCATAATGAAACCGGTACAGATCTCCATCAAAAAAGCCCTAAGCGGATGGCCTAGATTCGAGGAATTGTTTGACAAATGTCTTCGTTCGTTCGAAAAATCCGATTGACTAGAAATAAACTCAGTCGATGTAGAGGAAATGAGGGAAGAAGAGACCACGAATACCACACCCGGAGGGAAGGACCAATTAAGAGACCTTTTAAGACAAAGTGCGGATTTATTCCGCACGGTAGGATCACCCACGGCAGAAGCGGTCCAACGCATAGAAACTGGAGACCACTCACCAATCGCGGTACCCCCTTACCGCATTTCACCTGTGAAGCGCGACCTGCTCCAAAAAGAAGTACAGAAGACGCTGAAGGGCGGCATCACAGAAGAGCGCGAATCACCCTGGGTTGCTCCTACTGTTTTAGTACCGAAAAAGGATGGCGGCGTACGAGTTTGCATCGACTATCGGAAACTTAACGCTGTCACTGCCACCGATTCGTACCCTATGCCTTGAATCGACGATTTATTCCATTCAGCAAAGAATCCCGGTTTTATGCCATCATTGGTTTACGACGCTGTTTAGAATTTTCCGCTTCAAATGAATGTCTTTTGGACTCAAAAACACTCCTGCGATCATCCAACGGTTCATGGATCGATTGAAGGTAGGCTTGGGATCCCGCAATGTGCTCGTCCATCTAAACGACGTACTGATACTATCATCGGATTTCACGGAGCATTTAAAAGACCTGAAGGCAGTTTTTGGCCGACTGAGGCATTTTGGTTTAAGGATAAATAGGCAGAAATGTCATTTTTGCTGTTCTAGAATCAAATATTTCGCACATATTCTAATTCCTGAAGGCATTCTTCCGGATCCTGAGAAGGTGAGAGCGATTCGAGACCTGCAAGCTCCGAAAAACCTGAAACAGCTGATCGCCATCTTACATCGTGACATTCTTGAATCATGTTCAAATAATTTAAAAAGTAAGAGAAAAATTGGTAGGTAAAACTTTGGGATTGCCACAAATATATTGCAATTAATATTTGGTGACTCGTTTAAATAAGAAGTGAACAAACATATAGGACTTTCTTTAGAAATCGAAAGTATGAAATTTAAATACTAAATCTATAATGCAACATGACAGGCGTTACTGAACGTTGGTTTTAACGTAACGAATGTCATAAAAATATAAAATATACTTACATTCTTAGTAATATTATGTTGTCCGGAAAGTTCGTGCCGATTTTCGGTAGGCGGCATGAAAATGTATTTAGAAAAATTTTTCGTCGAAGAACCTGTGACGTTCTGGAAGGAATTCTCAAGTTGCGTGAAAGATGGAGAAAGGTATAGAACAGAATGGCACCTATATAATGTGATAAATGTATAACAAATTTAAATGAGCTGCGTTTCAATTCCCCCTCAAAATCAGCACGAACTTTCCGAACAACCCAATACATTAAGATCTACTGTTAAACTTATTCTTTTAATGAGTTATTACTTACATCTAAAATATAAAGGTCGTACTTTTATGAAAAATGAGGGGTGTGTTTATATCGTTGAGTACAAAATATGGAACAGTATTCAAATATGTCACAGATAAAAATATTTATATCATTTAACAAGAATTTTGATGACGTAATGATGTTGTAAACGGTATTAAAACCTCAATATTATCAATCAGTTAAATGTGCACAAACACGTGCTAAAAGATTCTATTTGCTTTTCTGGTATAAATACGAAAAAATTTACTCATAATAATTTAACACAGGATAAACAAAAAAAATTAAATCTGATTTTTCCATATTACTATAAAATAAGTTAGAAAATTAAAACAGTAAAAGCTTTATTTAACTTTGGGACAAATACATATTTCTTAATATGTCTTTTATTTTTACATTTAATATTGTTGCGTCGAAGAGATCCCTCACGAACACCCACAATTTATTTTGAAATATAAACTAGAATTAACAAGACCTTGAAAACTGTTTATTAAATTGTGCAAAAAGTTAACACGTCTGTTCTTTTCGGGTTCTAGCGTAATTGTGGTTTTCAAACATCGCGGTTGCTCACAACTACCGGAAGTTTTGTGTACTCGATCGTACTCGTCCCGCTTGGCAACTTGCGCAGACCGCTTCAGTTCATGGTCAAAACCAGCTTCGCATCATATATCGCGAGGCTCGCTTCACGACGCAACAATATTACATTTGTAACGCGCTATTAGGCGCGTACATGGTAGCATACCGGTAGGCGCGAATCTTATCAATGATCGCCAGTAGGCGGCGATTACCACGACTGCGATTCTCGCGGGAGAATTTTTTACAGTCCCCTTTACTAGGGACTGTAAAGCGAATCGACCGCTACCGACCGCAACCGTGTCTGCTCTCCCAGCAATTTTTTATATACTCCTTTGTTTTCCTCTGCGGAAGGCAACCAAGTGGCAGGGCGTACATCGACCACCCACTGGTTGTAAACCAGAGTGCGCATTCCTCGCTTTACGTTGCGGCTCGGCCTCGAGACGGGGCATCCGACCGCTAAAGAACACGAAGTTCGTGTTCTCGGGTCCACGGTCTCCTGCTAGGGAAGGACGGAGTGCGAAACGCAACCGTCCGACTTAAGGGGTAACGCCACTCTAGAAGTCAGAGAAAAACATGATTTTCGGGAATTTTTAAAGTAATAATCGTACAAATTATAAGGTCAGAATAAAAAAGGCTTTATCAGATATGTTTTGAAGATGGTTTGTAAAATTTTATAAACAATTTGCACTAAAAATGGCGACTGTAGGTGCTGGCAAACAACAACACTATTTCTTTGAAAGGGCTACATGGCCGGACTGTTTTTTCATTAACGCATGGTCCTAAGACTAAAAATCAAAAAGTTTCTCATTTTATATACCAAAATCTATGGAACATCATACGGAAATTAAAAAGTATTAATAATTGTTAATTCGGTGTAGATATGAACAAAAAGTTTTGAAAAACGATAGAAAATTCAGCAGTAAATTGTTAATAAAAGGTTAAGTAGTTAATTAATCAGAAAATTTGTACGATGTTAACTGCGTTATATTATTTTGCACCTCTCCACAAAATTTCAAGTCGATTAGTTAAAAACTTTTCGAGTTATTTGTCAGGCCAGTTCAAATAAAGTGATTTCGAGAAAAATGCGTTTAAAATTTTGATTGCTATTCAGCATAAGAAATTTGTTTTCATAACTTTAATCAGCGATGCCTGCACCATACATTTGGCCTTCTATATTAACATCCTCCATGTCCTTTTCCTTCTTGTTGGATCTGAGATTCAATCTCGACATTTTTGAAGCTTCATTCAAAGATCGTTCTGAAAACTCTATGCATCGGGCGTCGACTTATAGGCAAAAAGTGTAACAATTTTCTCCGACAGACATATTCAAGACTTTCATTAGTTCCACTATAGTGAATAGTCCATCTTTGAATATGCAAAGAGATATTTTTTCGATGGAATCATGGTTTCGAGGGATGATTAAACCATAATAAATACTCAACTCATCAATGAGTTTTCCAGACAAATTTCCCTTTCCTTCATGAAGCTTTGTCTATTTTTTCAAATTGAGGGTCATTGTTTATTAACCTAACTGAATCAGACCTTTTCCCCTTACCCAGGTACCGTTCTCTAAGCTAATTATTGTGCGCGTATCCGCAAATTACGCTGAGCCAACCACAGAGTGGTTGCTGTCCACTTAAAGAAATTCGTGTTTCCGACTTACCCCCCACTTAAAACTTTTTTCTCATATTCTACACATAATAAAGTATGATTTAATCAAAAAAAAAAAAAATCGATTTTTTCAAAATTCTAGAGTGGCGTTAGCCCGTAACCAGCGGCAAAACGTCAACTCCTCCTCCCGATTCTCCCCGTACCCAGCGTACTTATTGTAAATAAGCGTTTGCGTTTAGCGAGTAAGCCGCGTCTTGCGTTCCGCGTTCCGTATTCTGTGTTCCGTATTCCGCGTTCCGCTTTAGTTTATAAGCCGCGTTAGTTAGTAAGTTCTGGTTTATACCCCGCGACCGATTCCGGCACACTGACTGAGCCGGCAAAACTAAATAAAGACTACCGGACCAAGTCCGGTGATTATTCTTATGCGGTCTTTGTACTCCTGAAATTACTATCACATTGATCAGAAACAATATCGCACTATTTAAACATATAATTTTAGTTTTACATTAAAGAAAATATTTTACTTTAAGGACATTAAAAAATATAGTTAATCAAAGGAATACACATATTTGTAATTTACAGGTATAATATACGTAATAATACCAACATGCATCTTCTCTAAAATAATGCGCAACTTCGTTTCACTGTCATTTTCTATTATCACTTTTCACTGTAATATTTTTTGCCACTTTTCACTAAGTTCCTAATATAATAACGATGGACAAATAAGCAGAGACTCGTGAACGATTATCCGAAAATAACTTCTGTGATTTTTTCTCTTTAACGTTTCGTTTCGAACGTTCTGTCCTAAACTGCCGATTGTGATTTCAAATCTTTCTACCCTAGAGAAAACGAGATTTCTGGACAACATCTTCGCCCGTTCGGAACGTCGAATCAAAGAATCATAAAACAATGAAACGGTTTCGTTTTGCTCGCTGGACGGTCGCTTCGCAGGCATCCGAGAAAACCGTTGTCTCTTTCCTTTTCTACAAGGCAAATATGATTTTCGCCTTTTTCTAAAGAAAGGCATACTCTCACTTTCGTTCGAGTGACAAACGTCCTTGTTGCAAGGAATTATTGTCTAACTTTTCCGTCGAAGATGTTCGTCTCGTTGCGGCAGTTTAGAAAATATCGTCAGGTGTTCCACATCAAAGAGAAAATAAAAAGTTGCCGAAACTATTGTAACACTTCTTCCTACCCCGATTGGTCGAGTGAAAGATGTTGCGAGAGGAGAGTTCGGACCGTTTTTAGAATAGGGTTCGCGTTGAAAGATTTCAAGGCAAGAGGAAGGATAGCAATTCAGCCAATGACACACTCGTTGAAATCTGATACACACGAAATTTATTAAATTTTGGGTATTTAATATAGGTGGTTTATAAATTCTTTACTTTTATGCCCCGAACGCTTGAACGTGGCCCCGCGGTACTAACGGCCAAAATTCTTCGAAAAGCAAATCCGCTGATGGGGGATTGTGATATCCGCTTTAGACTTGATTTCTGTTATTATACTCCGGAGAGTTTACAAAAACGATTTTGGAATTCGCTAGCTACCGATGTTTATACCCAGACGAGCGTTCGTCACCTAGCGTGGTAAATATATATTTGGCCTTGACAAGGCCGCGGCAAGTGACACGTGCGACAAAAACCCCTTTGACTTTAATACATTGTTTGCAAGTTATTCTAGCTAGGATGCTGGTGCTCAACTCGCGGCGCACTATCGTTAGACTACGCTCTTTAGAGCGTGTGACACAGGAATGTTCAAAATATGATCAGTGGGTTTGTGAGCCACTCAATCACATTTGACATTGGCCACGCCACTGTGGCTATGAGC